TATATAATATATGTATAGTAGAGCATAGATTATCCAGTCGTTAATTATTTTAAAATTGATTAGTCGAATATAGAATAAATCACGTATATATGTACGTACTTTAGTTATATATGTAACAATATTTATATTATAAACCATATATCTTAGCAGTGTTTTAAATGACTAATTAATTTCATAAATTATTTTTTTAATCTATTCGAAACAGTAGCGCATGTAACATCGAATATATGTAATTTATTTCTGTCGAATAATTTGGTATATATTTGTTTAAGTAAATCATTTTAAATGCGATTTTCAAATTTATATAATTACATTCTTTCAAACCGATTATATCATATTGAATTTGTCTTCGAAATTAATTTTGTATAATCTACGCTCTACTTTCGTTGAAAAAAACAATATTGAAAAAATTATTTATAGAAGATAATAATATAAATTTTCGAATGTGTACCATTCACATTTAGATACATTGCATAGATGCGTATTATATATTGAAAAATGTGGATACAAGAAGAAAATAAATTATACACGACGCGTAAATATAGTTCTATTTATCGTTAATTTTAAATTTGCGTATTTTTTTCAATTTTCTTTTTTATTTTCATAATTGTGCGCATCGATCGTATAAAGTACATTCTGTTTTACGCTTATATGTATATTCCTATAATATTTTATGTACCATTTTTATTTTTTTCCTTACTTTTTCTTTCTGGGGAGGGGAGGTTTCTTTCTTTTTTTATACATTCTCAGTTCTATAAAATCGAACGTACGAAAATTCTTCTTTCCATTTTCTATATTTCAGCATATTATAAATTTTATCAACTATTCTAAATGAATCGACAAATTTCTTCTAAATCGTTGCATAATTTCTTTCGTACCTTTTTTTTTTCAACAGAATTTTTACGTTAATAAACACAGAAAAATAAAAGAAGAAGAAGAAGAAGAAAATATGATAAAAATGACGATGCGATTTGATGATATTCTTCGAAGAAAAATTTAACTATTTATCGATAGAGAAAAAAAAAAAAAAATTTCTCTCCTAACTTTACGACTTTGGCTTTGATAGACTATGACAGGTAATAGATTAAGAGCGTTCTACGTTAAGTAAATATTAATGATTAATTTTGCATTAATCAATTACAAAATATACTGATATTATAACTGTGATCGAGAAATAAGAAAAGATAATTATTCTAATGAAAGAGAAATGTTTTGTAAGAAAATATTTAAAACATTGGGAAACAAATATTTCTAAACTAAGTGTTTCTTTCAATTTTATCCGAATTGTGTGTTTTTTCTTTTTCCTTTTTTCAAAAATGAAAGCCATAATAATAAAAAATAATATTTATAATTTTGTTAATATCGTAAAACGTTCTATTTGGAAATATCTACACACATGCGTCTAAAAGTAGATTAATTATTTATAAATAATTAATAGCAAATAAATAATTCTGTTACGTGTGATGGCAACAGGATAATATCCACATTTATGCATTTATATCATCCGATATACGTACTTAATTTATATCGAATATAATATAACGGATAAGAAAATCAGTAAAATTTAATAAAAAGTGTATAATAATTATTAAAAATTTCATTACTTTGTCGAATATATACAATGGACCTTCTTGATGCCATCTTCAAGATATGTATCATACTTGAATAATAAATTTTTGTTTAAGAGCATCATTTTTTCTATGTATATTAGCACGCGCATTCACACACACACACACACACATACATACACACATACAAATTCATCAACAAAACGATTGGACGGTTCATGATATTTTATAATCCATGATTAATAATTAATCATCAATAATGTTTATCGAATATATCATTTTTGTTTATACAAATATTCTATATAAATTTGTATTCTATTCAAACCTTCTCTCTCTATATTATATATATATATATGTATAATATTTCGATAGATATTTTTTAAAAGACGACAATTACAAATTATCGTCGGGGACAGTTAAATGCGTAAAAATTTGATTAACTAACGTAAGCCGAGATTCGAATATAGGAAAAAAACACCGCGATTATCGGTAACAACAGTATTTTTTTCTTTTTTTTCTTTTTCTTTTTTTCTTTCTTTCTTCGTTGACACACCTCTTACTTCTATATATCGTTCAAATATCGTCACTCACGAGTAAAAAGACAAATCTAATATTCCGATTTAATAAAGAGTAAGAGAGATATTTTTTTTCGTCGTTAAAGCTTTACCATTTTCAAAAGAATTTGACTATACACATTATAATGTAAATACAATAATTAATAATAATAACATCGTCTAATATATATCTAATAATATAAATTTTGTCATTTACCGATAGATACGAATTAAGTTAAACTAAGTGCAACATTTAAGCTTTTTTTGTCATTATTGTATGCAAAAATTAAGTTCAAAAGAGAAAGAGAGAGAGAAAGAAAGAGATAGAGAGAGAGAGAGAAAGAGAGAGAGAGAGAGAGAGATAAACAAAGCACATTTTTTACAATCGCGTGTGTTAGTTTCATTCGATGAGTTTGCGTTGATAGAACAGACCAACGCAAGTAAAAAAAGAAAAAACCAAAAAAAACAAACTAAAAAACACGAATAGTAGTACACACGTGATACGTGGAAACCATATTCAAAATCAAACGCAGTGTCTCAAAGAATAACACAATATTCGCGTGTTATTTCGAACTTGATCTAACAGTTCATACGTCCGGTTACACACGCGAATCTGCTTTTATGATTTCATTGTCTGCTTATTTTTTTGCGATAATATATTTTCCTACATACGTAAATACTTAAAACTTCTTTCCTTCCTTTCTTTTTAACATTTTACGTTTGTATTTATTACATAATTGTGACGTAAGAAATAGAAAAGAGCTCGTTTGAAAAGGAATATTTATATTGGGACAAGAGATATGAAAACAATCAACGTTAATGCGTCAATCGATACGAAACAAGTGTTGGAAAAAACAAATGATTCATCAACTATGCTTTTTAATATATACTGGCACTTTTCTAATTTAAGTTTGCTTTGTTTTTTCTTCTTTCCTGTCTTTTTTCGAATTATTAATTCATATATCGCGTTAAAGGAATATATTTATTTTTTTATCATTCTTGGAGAGGGTCATTTAAATATATAAATTAAATGTTTAATTAAATTTATGTATATTTATATATATATATCTCTCTCTACTAATTTGTTGTTAAGAAATATTTAATAAATTTGATATAAGACTTTACTCACCTAAGTTGGAAATATTGAAAAATCTATCTCCGCCATCGAAGTATCTAAAACATCTTCGTAATATGTATGTGTGTATATCCTAATTGTACACGATAATGAATGGACGAATGAATGAACATTTTTTTTTCCTTTAAATAATTATTAGATATATGCAAAAATTGTAATCTCGTATTGTTTGTTTTTAATTCCTTAAGATTTTTGTCAAATTGTTTGTTAATTTACAAATATGTCCGTAATAGATAAATGCAAAAGAAACTATAACGCGACGACGTATATAATAAATAAAATAAAATTACGAATAAAAGAGAAAAAAAAAAAGAATTAAACGAGATTAAAATAATTGCATAGACGTAATACATATAACCAATAATATTAATATCTCTTTTTTTTTTTAGCAAGTAGCAATTGATCGTGGATTATTATTTACAAGGCAAATATTGTTAATGTGTGTGAGAGTAACAGTAGTAATAGTAATAGTAATAGTGGTAGTAGTAAATAAGTAAAGAAGTGTGGGGTTCGAATTAGAGGGAAACGCTTGGCATGCGTTCGGTGATCCCATGGAATCGTTGTGTACACCTGCAAGAATAAGGAAAGGGCTCTGGGTGAGACGAATCTCAGCTGCTGTTGCTGCTACCCGGAACCGGTATCGTTCTGTATGGGGCTGTGTTACTGCTGCTGCTGCTGCTGTTGCTGTTGCTGCTGCTGTTGCTGCTGCTAATGCCGTTGGCAGTGGTACCGGAGTGTACCTGTGCTGGTGGTAGTTGTTGTTGTTGTTGTACCACTCCTTGTGACGTTGTTTGTGGTAGTGGTAGTGGTAGTGGTAATGGTAATGGTGGTGATGGTTGTTGCTGTGGTGGTGGTTGTAATGGTTGTTGTGGTGGTAATGGTGGTGGTGGTGGTGATGGCGTGCACCGAACTTGGCCGGTGTTGTTTCGTTGAACGGCACTTTGTTCACCGACACCAGACGATGCAACCTGAAGCGAACGATAATCTAACGCCGGCGCCGCTGGGTGTTGACCTTCCCTATGCCTTCTAAGATCGACCTTCCTTTGAAATGCCTTGTCACATAGACCACATTGGAATGGCTTGTAACCCGTATGCTTGCGCATATGAGTTATCAGATTGCTACTTTGTGAAAATGCTTTACCACACACCACGCATTTGTGTGGTTTCTCACCTAAAACATATATTTAAATGATATCGTTAGAATTTATCTCAATACAATGGGTCATTATTATTATTAAAACACTGGAGAAAAAAAGGGACAAGAAATTATCTTTCTCAATAAGTTAATAGTTTAATTTATCTTCAAAAATATATCTGTTACAAATAATATAATATTTATTTAATATAATTCCTATAGACAAATATAATTATTATATTATTAATCAAGAAAAATTTGTGAATAGATAATATTATCGGTTCGTTTTTATACTCTCAATTTGATGTTAACATTTATTGGTATCACGATGCGTTATATTCTTTTTTTTTTTTAATGACTAATCTAAAAGATTATCTTGAAAGGGAATCGCACGATTGGGAATCGGAATTGCATAGTTTATATCATGCGCATCGGTTGCCGATCATAAATTCGATTATCAACAGAGAAGACGGGATATGGTTTGGAATAATGAAGCAAGGTTAATCAAACGCAGCTGTATCAACTAATAAATCGTACGGTTGGACGCGTTTCGATGGCGCAACTCATAAGATGTTGCTTTGCGTCAATACGCGATGAGTAAAAAATGATAATTTGTTTAAAATGATCTTGCCGAGAAACGACGACGGTTTTTCCCTCGATATAGGCGATATCGATACAGAAATCGAAAGATTCCATTGTAGATGAGTAAAGTACAACGACCTGCCGATTATTATCTACGTGTTGATTCACTTTTAAAACTGTCACGATCAAATTCGATTTATATTTTTACTTTCTTCAATTCGAATAAGAAGCAACGATACGTGAACGGGACACTTGGTTGGATATCAATGCGGATAAATTGAAAGAACATAATTACGTATCGCATAATAATCTTGCAATACGAGCCCACGATAAAAAAAACGTAATTTCATTTTTTCCATTTCAATAACAAAACACGGACAACATATTATTTTTCGGCACCAAAATTTACTGATTAAACTTGAAATCACGATTATATCGTATTTTCCTTCGAATTTTGTTCTGTTTTTTTTTTTTTTTTTTTTTTTTTAAACACGAATATAAATTCATACAACGTTGTGCACGCGTTTTTAAACAATATTTACATTTCTACTTAATATAACATCGAATCAAAAATTGTTCTTCAAACATCGTTATACAAATAATCAAAAAATCATTTTGATTGATATATTAGAAATAAATTTAAATGAATCATCGATAAAATTCCAGCTTTAGAAAAAAATTATTTCTGATTTAACTGAGAACAAAAAAAATCTCCTCGCGTAATATTTGTCGGGTGCGTTCTTGAAGAAAATTAAGATGCACCTCGCTAAAAAAAAGAAAAAAAAAGAAAAAACCTTCGCGTACGAATAAACGTCGATGACAAGATATTATCCGAAAGATAGAAATCGAGAAATTCCTTAGGGAAACAACAAGGCTATTTCGAGTTCGGTCGATATAATTTGATGAAAAGGAAGAAGAGAAAAAAAAGAGAAAGGGAAATACAATAGAAAGAAAGATACAACCCTATCGTACTTTCTTCTATGTTCATACATAAAAAATAGAAAGGAACGATCGAGTGATCGCATAAGCCAATAGCTTACTCTTTTTCTCTATACATATACATATATACATCCTAAGTATTCCTATGAACATCGATAGCCAGGAAGGAACAACTCGACTAAACACAATAAACGATAGGATGATATTAAAAAGTATACTTTCTAGCTACTAGGTTACTCGCAATCATTTTTACGAATCTTGACGCACATCCATGTATAAAATACTTGCTACTACTAACTATAATATATCTATATCTATATATATATATATATATATGTAAAAATAAAAATGAAAACTTACGAGACGACTAGTCGTCGCATAAGTTAATGACAATAAAACTGAGAGAGAAAAAGAAAGATAGAAAGAAAGAAAGAAAGATAGAAAGATAGAAAGAAAGAAAGAAAGAAATAAAGAAGAGGGTCGAACAGAGACAACTCGCAAAGCCTTTTTCTAAAAGTCCTTCGGTCGGACGTCTAACGTCGATCGTGGGGTTGCGATAATAAAGGTAAACAGCTGTTCCTCCGTTACGTCGCCATCGAAATTCCGAGCAAACAATTTTGCGATTATAAAGCGACGATAAAAACGCGTGTATCCTCCGAGTTGGAAAAGGACATTGGCGGTGTACTGTGTTTATGTGTGTGTGTATATATATATATATGTATGTGTTACACCGTCCTCGAAAGGCGTCGCCGTTAAGATTCTATCGAAAAGGAATTAATTTTCTCACCATACTTCAGGTTACTCACAACATCCACCATCACTAAACACTCTACCACTAAACCCTATCGCAAAGAACCCCCCACCCTACCCCCCGACAACGTTAACACTACGTACCGATAGTTAGAAAGTGCTTGCACTTTTAGTACAATTTTTATCACACTTACATTTAAGACGAGAGAGAGAGAGAGAGAGAGAGAGAATAGAAATGTATTTAGATAGAGTATATTTACGCCCACGCGTAAGCATCTTTTTATAATATATATATGTGTGTGTGTATGTATAGGATAGATATGATAGAATACACTTTCTTCGATATCAAGCATACCTATTATATGTACAATAGTATTCATACACACATAGAATGGAAGTAAATTTTTCCTGGTAAATTGGCCGAAGTTACGTGCCGTATAACGAGCGATATCGGCGAATAATATTCTCTGGAGAACAGCAGACCCTTGCTCGGGGAGTGAAAAGTATACTAAAACGTTAGCTAGAAGTAGATATATATATATATGTATATGTAATATACTATTACAACCTAGCCGTTATAAGACACACACAAGAGAGAAAATAAACTTATAAACTATCTGAGTGTGTACACTTAGAGTTGACGTGCTCGTTGTATTTCACGATTGTCTGTTACGATAACTTACTTGTTTCTGATATCAAGACGATTCTCGATTTTTGTCATAAATTTCAACCTTTCCTCCTTCGGTCATCGTTCCGTTTCGTTTTACACATAAGGGAATTTTTTTATCAACTAATTTATTTCCTCGCCACTCAACCAGCCCCCCCCCGTCCCCATTTATCTGTCGTCTATCGTGTCGTCTAATATCTTTTTCTTTTGTTATTTATTGTCGTTATTCATTTGAACGTGAAAACATTGATATAAAGGTTTATTTTATAATATAAAATAATATATTTTTTGTAGAATTTTCAAATTTATATTCAAACGTCACAATTGTATAGGGACACGTTTATTGGATATTTTGATATCTAATAAAAATAATCGGTATAAAAATATAATATAAAATAAATGATTTCTCTCCAAATGTGTTTAGGGATTCAGTGACAATGTTACAATTATCAGGACACGTTTTATTGTAATATTCTTATAATTAGATCGAATGAGAAATCGATATAAGTTAGATTATAAATTCTCTCTCATCTGAATCTATCTATTTAGTTTATCTACCGTCTCTCTTTTTTAATTCAGCGTATCGGCGATCATCGCATTATCGGATATACCATTACAATTATTATCTTTCACATGACAGAAGAAAGAATGGTAAAGTCCACGAGGACTATTGAATATTGTTGTCGCACTGTTCCGCCACTTCGTTCCTGTCATCGTTCCTATCTACTCACTTGCGCGAAGAAAAATACAATTATAGTAATTGCCGTCTAGGATTCGATCACCATAACTTTGTTGAGTCAAGGCAAAAGAAATGAAGGAAGAAAGAAAGAACGAAAGAGAGAGAGAGAGAGAGAAATAAAAAAAAAAAAAAGAAATGATAAGAGAGAAAAATAGTATAAAAATTGAACGAACTACCTTTGCTCATCCACGTACGAACGAGCAGCGTCATAACGTTACTTTTTAGAGAAATAGACGAGCTTTTTTTCTTCCTTCTTTTTTTATTTTTCTTTTCTTTTCTTCTTTATAGAAATAAGAACAACGAGAGAGCTTTCCCCGAGATAAATTGATGGTAGTAAAAAGGAAAAAAAATACTTCGGCAGGTTTTTCTTTTGCGATCGATTTTTACGAGGAGAGATATATACTAGTAAATATAATCAAAGTAAGTTAAAAAGATTTCTCTAGAATATCACGTTCTTCAATTGAAATCAACAAAATTGTTCAAAAACATTACGATTAATATAAATGATATCTTATCGAAAACAATGAGAACAAAAAAGACAAGTTTCGACAAAAATTGAAATAAATCAGTAGAATAGGTCCAAGTGAAGAAGATTATCTATCGAATCCGTGTCAGTGACCGAGCCTTGCTCATACATACAAATACACACATACATAAATATATATATATATGCATATATATATATATTTATATATATTTACGAACGAGAAGCAGCATATCGATCCATGCCGACTCTCATTACCAACCCCTTACCGACCGACTTAAATATTTACCGACCGAAGCGTTCACTTGGTGGCCGATTTTAATGATAGGAGAGGTAGAATCGTATCTGCGACAAGCAACGAGTATGCTTGTGTTAGTCAGTGCCCGCTCGAGTAATACGCGGCCGCGAATACTCGCGAGTTCGCGCCTATCATTCGGAGCATGCAAGTTAGAAAGAGAAAATGAGAGAGAAAAAGAAATAGAGAAAGAGAGAGAGAGAGAGAGAGAGAGAGAACAGGTTGGGATGACCGTTGGGGGTGGGTGGGTAGGTGGTGAGTTGGTGGTGGTCGCTTAATTATGCACGACTCGCCTAACGAACTTGATGTAATAACGCGATGTCGTATCAACGACGATGGTGAAAGAGAGTCGGCAAATCGATCCGCCTTTTCTACTCGGTTATTGCTAGATAGAGATCGGTTAGAAAAGACGATGCTACTACTCCTATCTTTTCCTTTTTTTTTTCTTTTTCCACTTCTCTTCTCTCTTCATTTTCCCTCTTTCTGTCTTTGTTATATCTTTTTTTCTTTTTAATTTTTATTTCTTTTTTTTCTTTTTTTTTTTTACGGGAAATATAGGGATCTTCCGCGATAGTAAAAA